CTCCCTGAGGCTGGGCTCGCGGCTGGAGGGGGCCGCTGCGGACAGGGCGGGAACCAGCTCACCAGCTATTTGGGCCGGGTCTCGGCAGTCCTTCCCCGGAAGACGGGCTTTCCCGACGCAGAAGGGCGTTCAGGTGAACACAAGCAGGGTAGACACCGGCTTGTCCCGAGGTTGTCCGCGGGACCACTCCGGGGAGGAGAGGGTCTAGTGGAGACGCTCACCGCTCATCTGCTCTTGGAGCCAGTCCTTAAAGACCGCCACGCGAGTGTAGACCCCAGGCTTCCCTGGCTCCCCGCAGCCATCCCCCCAGGAGGTGACACCGAACAGGACCTCCCTGGGGTGGGGGCCAGCCTCAGAACAGGTCAGGGGGCCTCCAGAGTCACCCTGTGGGAAAGCGAGAGAGAACACTACGTCCACCCGCCCCCGCGATGCCAGCTTTCACACCCACAGGGCAAGCAGCTCTGAGCCCCTGCGGCCACACTCGCACCATTATAGCGGCGCGGATGTCGAGTTCAGAGACGTTGAGCTACAGCCTGGCTGTAGAGGTTAGTGGTCCTCCCGCCCCCTGGAATGCCCTCCGACCTCTCCGAGTCATACCTGGCAGGAGTCTACGCCCCCGGCCAGGTAGCCGGCACAGAGCATGGTACTGGGGTGCATCCCAGGCCCCAGGGCCCTCCTGCAGGTGTCCGCGCTGAGCAGGGGAACGCGTGCCTCCCTCACCGCCTCGGCCTCGGGGCCGTCTGCAGGGAGGCGTAGAAGGGTTCAAGTGGGGGGCAAGAGACACACTTTGAGGGTTCCCCTCCCTCTGCCCCTTTGACCCTCCCCTTTGCGAGATGAGGCGGCATTTCGGAAGGCAACTGGGCGTAGGCCGGGTTCCTCACGCTCCAGCTCCCCAAACTCCGTCATTTGGGCCCCCACCCTTCCCACACACGAAGGGCTCACTAGGCCCTGCCCTGCCCAGTACCTTCGAAGAGGGCCCCCCAGCCCGCGATGGCGCAGGTGGTGCCCGCTGGGGGCTCGCGCGGGCCCTGGGGTAGGCACACCGGCCGCGCCGGCCCCGCAGGGCTCACCGGCGTCCACAGCTGCACCAGGGCCAGGTCGTTGTGGAAGGTCCGCGAGTCAAACTGGGGAGGGGTGGCAGCGCGGGGTCAACGAGGCGTCGGGTGGGGGCGCCGTTCCCAGCTCCGAGGGCCTGGGGCCTGCCCTCTCACCTTGGGGTGGGGCAAGATGCGGTTCACCGGCACCTCCTCCACTCGCTCCCCCTGGGACCCCTCGGCCAGCGTCACGGTCCACAGGAGCTCGTTCGGGGCGCTGCGGGGTGAGTGGTGGGTGATAGGCAGGAAGGACGGGGCACAGCGGGGCCCTGGAGACCCTGCCCCTCCGCCCGCCCCCCAGCCAGTTCGCACGTGGGGCTGTTCCTCCGCCGGCGGGCCGAG